TAGAGAGATGGAGGCAAATATGAGAGATGCCGTCATCAACAAGCCTTGGCAATTGACTGGATATGGAAGGTAAATGAGAGGAGAGAATGGAAGATAGCACCAAGGTGGAGAACCTGAGTGCCCGGAAGGATGGTTATACCCATCTTTGGAAATAAATGTAAGTAAATTCGGAGGAGGGGTGGATAGCTTGGGAAACATCAGTTCCATTTTGGACATGCTGAGTTTGAAATGCCCATGGACCATCCAGGTGGAGATACTCATCAGACTGTTCATGATTTGGGATGAGTTGATGAAAGACCTTAGGGCCACATTAGAGTTACCTTCATGGAGAAGACAGCTGAATTCATGGGAGTGAGAATGAAGGAGAGAGGGATGAGGAACAAGGAGGAGGGGAAAGAGCCAGAGCCAGAGAGTAGCCGAGGAGATTTTGGGGGCATGTCCACACTTCATGGCAGGTAGAATGATAATCTAGTAAAAGAGATAGGGAAGGAATGAGATGGGTAGGAGACATAAGAGAGAGTTTAGGAAGAGGGAATGGCAAAAGCTGAAGAAAGGAGACTGATGGGTGGAGGCTCTGTGATTTGCCAGATGACACACAACTAATAGTTTCAAGAGGAAGTATTTGAACTTAGGTATTATTGACTTTGGCCTACTCTGTCTCAATCAGGCTATGTGGAGGTAGCTGGAAATGGAGGGGAACAGCTCGAGTGTGGGAATTTCAACTCCCACAACTTGTTTCTTTTTCTTTTTCTTTTGTTTTTTTGGTGAGGTAGTTGGCGTTAAGTGACTTGCCCAGGGTCGCACAGCTAGTGTCAAGTGTCTGAGGCCAGATTTGAACTCAGGTCCTCTGGACTCCAGGGCCGGTAATCTATCCACTATGCCACCTAACTGCCCCCCAGAACTTGTTTCTATAAGACTTTCTTCATCTGTGAAATGGGAATATCTACACTATCAATCTACACTGACTACACAACAAGCATTTATTAGGCACCAACTAGTCAGGAAGTATGCTAAGCACTAGATACAAAGACTTCAAAGTTCCTACCCTCAATAAACTTACAAAAGCTTATTGAATACACTGTGCCTAGCATGAGGTTAAATATGTTGACAGTAAGTGAATACAAGATAGAGAGATAGATAGATATGTGTGTATACACATACACATACACATACACACAAGGTAAATAAAAAATCATGGGAAGGGTGAAACCTGAAACTGGGGAAATTGGGAAAGGTCTCTGTAAGAAAATAGCCTTGGAGTTTGGCCTAGAATTGAGGTTTGGTGTTCCAAATATTCCTAAGAGGTGAGGAAGGCTTAGGGGGCCACCAGTGCAAAGGCAAGTAGGTGGGAGAAGGATTGTTGCTTAGAGGGAGGTCATGTTAACTGGATTATAGAGTGTGTTAAAGGGAGTGATAGGTAACTAGGGAACACATCTGGTAGGGTGAGCAGGAACCATTTTAGGAAAGGGCTTTAAGAATCTGAGATGAGGAGAGCTAGGTGGCACAATGGTAGAGCACTGGCCCTGGAGTCAGGAAGACCTGAGTTCAAATCTGGCCTCAGACACTTGACACTTACTATGTGACCCTGGGCAAGTCACTTAACCCCGAGTGCCTCACTTTAAAAAAAAAAAAGCAAAAAAAAAAATCAGAGGTGAGTTTGTTGATCTTAAAAACTATAGAGAACCAGTAAAGTTTCTTGAGTAGGGGAGTACCATCTCTGCTTTATGACTATCACTTTGGAGGGGTTTAAATGTAGGAAGATCAGTTAGGAGGCTACTGCCATAGCCCAGTGAGAGAAGAATTTGATGTAGCTGTGGTGAAAACAGAGAGAAGGCGGTGGATGTGAGATGCTATGATAATGGGGAGTGGAAGTGAAGAACTAAGGATCCACACTTGAGTGAGTGCAAGAATAGTAGTTACCTTATGCCCGAAAGGCTAGAAACCTATGCATACCCTCCTAGCAATGCCACTACTAGATCTGTATCCCAAAGAGATCAAAAGAAAAGGACATATTTGTACAAAAATATTGATAGCAGTTCTTTTTGCAGTGGCAAAGAATTCAAAATTAAGGGGATGCTCAGCAATTGGGGAAAGGCTGAACAAGTTGTGGTATATGATTGTGATGGAATACTATTGTGCTTTAAGAAATAACTTAAGGGGATAGTTTCAGAAAAACCTGGGAAGACTTATATGAACTGATGAAAAATGAAGTGAGCAGAACCAGAACACTGGACACAGTAACAGCAATACTGTAAGGATGATCAACTGTGAAAGGCGTAGCTAGTTTGATCAAGACAATGATCGGAGGCATTCCCAAGGACCCGGGATGAAAAAAGCTATCCACCTCCAGAGAAAGAACCTATAAACTCTTGACTGCAGATTGAAGCATACTTTGCTCACTTTCTTTTTCTTTGTTTTCTTTTGCAACATGACTAACTATGGAAATGTTCTGCATGATGTCACATATATAATCAATATACTGCTTGCCATCTTGGGGGAGTGTGAGGGAGGGGCAGGAAGAAGGGAGTGAATTTGGAATTCACAATTAAAAAACAGAATGTTAAATTTTTTAAAGTAATTGATATTTCATTAAATTATATATATATATATATGTATATATATTTTAAAAAGTTACCTTTAGCAGAAGTAGGGAAGTTAGGAAGAAGGGTGCGTTTAAGAAGAAAAAAAAATTTAGCTGTAGACATGTTGAGTTTGAGAAGCTGATGGGTCACCAGGTAGAGATGGGAGCAGCCCACCCCAAGAGTTGTGAAGAAAGCTGAGGATTCTGGGAATCAGGCCAACAAACTGATACAGGTTCAAGTGAGGAAGTAATTTAGGGTGTCTTGTACTTGTAAGAAAAAGGCCTCTAGGTAAGGGCCTAGGTCACATTGCTACTTTGCCTTCTCTCCAGACGACTAGGAAGGGAACCTCTGGGCCCCACCCCTTGGGCAAAGTGAAAACCTTCTGGTTGCTCATTTGTTCACCCTCATCTCCCCAAAAAACTCGTCCTAAGATCAGGGACATTCAAAATGTCAGTAATATCTGAAAGACTGTGGATAATAGAAGCGCCACAAGACTGGATGACAAACACATGATCAGGACTTTCCAAAAATGGGAAGGCAGAGGTCTACACACGCCTGTTACAAATCTCAGCGGACAAAATTCTGGAAGGGCTAGGCACGACTTCAAGAATACATCATGTCAGACTAACCTATTTTTGACAACCTTCCTAAATTTCTATCAAAGGAATGCTACATAATTTAAGCATTTTTAATTAAAAAATCTCCTATGCTATTATCATAGGAAATGATTTGGAATTTGAATGTCCTGATTCACTGTGGTCTGTGGCTCCAGTTCTCAGAGAGAGTGAGCCCCAGGAACCTGCACTTGGCTCCCTGCTGGTTAACAGTCTTTTGGTTTTGTTTTATCTGTGACTTAGGGCGTGGCATCCTTATTAAATCTGCAGGGGCAGCTGCAACAGCTAATATACTCCGGGAAAGGATTAAAAAAGAGTCTTGACGGGATAGAACCAATATTAGCTTTAATCTAAAAAAATGTAATCCCAATGGTAATATGGTAAAACCCTACACCTGAGGTTTTTTTTTTTAAGGACTTGACAAGTACACTGTAATTTAGGGGAAGCATGTTAAGACAGTAGTGCCAGAAAAAGATCTGGGGGTTTTAGAGGCCAGAAAGCTCAGTCAGTCAGTCAGTGGTGTGATGGAGCAGCAAATGGATATCTTGTCAGCTGAGGCTCACAAGAAACTGGGATTATTTTGGAAAAACGGTAAGATTCAGTGTCAACTTGATAGCTTTCTTTTTATTTTGAAAGACTTTCAGATGGAAAATGGATTCTGTTTGTCTTCTTTGGCCACAGGGAGAAGCTGCAGAAGCAAATTTAGGATAAATATCAGGGAAAATGCAAGGAGCCTCCCAGAGTGGAATGGGGCTGTTTTAAGATGAATCCTCCTGCTGGAAACTTTCCCACCAGTGGCTGAATTGGATGATCACTCGCCAGGAATGCTGGCCTGGGGATTTTTTCCACTATGGGTTCGACTAGCTGGATAGAGGGTCCCTTATAACTTTCTTTCAAATTAACCAATTATCCAAAAAGTAGTTAGATCAAAGATTTGGAGTTGGAAGTCCTTAAGTCTAGACATTCATCTTACCAAACTCATTAACAAGTGTCGACTGCTAGAATGAGCATTTAACTCCAGGTCCTCCCACTGAACCCTGGCCATTTTTCACTGTTCTCACTTATTCTCTGGAAATTTTCGGGGGTGTATTTCGTGCATTTTAAACAAAACGTTACTTTTGAACGCTCTTATTTGTGTCCTGGAGATTTAAAGACAAGTTTGCCTGAACCCAGGAGAATCGGCTTGGTGGCCCGTCCCATGCTTGGTTAGTTCTGGGCAACCCGGGTCAGTGGATGCGCACTTGGGAAGGGACTCCCGGCCGCGCCCAGAATCCCGTTTCGCCCACGTTCTTAACAGCGCCCCCCCGCCCCCAAATGAAGGGCTGTCATGACAAGGTGCTGGAAAAAGGGGTGGGGGGTACGGGCTCTCTTCAGGCCGAGACCCGGGTATTTAAATCCCCAACAAAGGAGAAGATCAGAACTGGACCCTCTTGGGGGCAGGGGACTGGCTCCTTTCGTCCTGCTAAGAGGCAAAGCCGAAGAGTCCATGCGCGGTCGGAGGGTAACGAACTCTGCCCCGCCCGGTGAGTGTCCCTTCCCCTACTTCCTGCCTCCCTCTCCCCAGCTCGGCCGGCCAAACAGACAGAGCAAGACCAAAGGTTTAAACAATTTATTGAGCAAAAAAAAAGAAAAAAAAATAGAAAAAAGGCCAACGAGGACAAGTGAAAGCGCCGAGGGCCCCGTGCCGGGGAGGCCACGTCCCCGAGCGATTGTACACTGCGCACAAAAGGCATCAAGTTCTCGCCGGGCTCCCACACGCCGGCGGGAAGCCCTGGTCCCCATCACCCC